TCGAAGATGGTAGCAGCCTCGAGGGCTGCCATCCGTCAAACAACGTGAAAGGTCCTGCTCCTGTTTGCGGCGATTTAATTACCCTTCGCATCTGGCGATCCATGCGTTTCCTGAACTTCTTTTTCTCCCCTTGTCCACCCACGAGCTTCGACCGCGCGCTCCAAGCTAGACTTCGATTACCACCGTATCTCGATAAATCATTTACTCCCACATATTGGGTTCTTGTCCATGAAACGCCCGTACCCCCAAACTGATACGCTTCGAAAACAATTCACGTTTCGTTTTAACGCGCAACAGTCTAATAATTCCACGCGAGTGAACAGCTGCCGATATCCGCATTATTATTTCGCGAAATCTATAAGATCAAGAGGGTAAGAGAAAGGATTGGACGGCCTCGAGAGATTCACGATGCCAAATTCGAGGCCATTAGGAGATCGCAAAGCGTGGTAAAAGCTATCTGGAAGCGCTCGGACACGAAGGTTCTGTTTCTATGCGGAGAACAGCTGTTCCACCCCCTCCGGGGCGTCTCTTCGGGAGATCTGCTGGTATTCAGTCTATCTGAAGGAACTATCGTGCGGAGGAGGTTTCGAGAGGGCAACGGCGAAGGTAGGTACGAGCAGCTGGATCGCCCAAGACTCGAAAAACTCTGTCACGCCTTACTCCTGCATTGTTCGTATCTAATGCAGCTCCCTTTTGCCCCCAAAATCACTTCTCTCTCTCACTCTGTCATTTTGGCCGATCGAACGTTTACATCGTTAAAGAAATTAATCGAGAACGCGTAAATTGTCAAAGGATCTTCGCGCGAGACAAAGAGGAGACCGTTCGCCGGAGAGGCGATCTTCTCTCTATCGTTTCAGTTTATTGTACGGATGGTTAAAGCCGGGAAACGAACGAAACCCAACGTTGCACGCACGGCTACAGAGTGGAGAGAAACACATCCTGTGTTAAACGCTTCCTCCTCTCCCTCCCGCTCAGGTTCGCTCGCACGCACGATTTTCTGCCACGAATAAACTAGCTCGATTGCTCGCAACAGTTCCCATACACTCTGCCCAACGTGTACGTGTAACTGCTCGCATTAAATGCGTTTATTTGCACGTATATTAAACGTTACCTTGTCGACAAATAATTTCTGCCGTTAAAAGACACCATCCGGAGAGAGCGCACTCCGTTTCATTCGCGTGGTATCCAACGACTGGACCGAACACACAAGTTCTGCACCGCCAATTAAACTTCTCGTAAATCAAATTGAAAGTAACGATAATTTTGTAGATTATATTTTACCGAAATGCTCAACGCGTTGAACAATGTTATCGGAGAGCTGTCGCAATTTTTGGGGTAGTGTTTTCAGAATGCCGTGTTACAAGAGGGTCTCTGTAAGTGGATTCCGGCTTCGAGTATTTTCTTTCTCGGTCACCACGTCGAGATACATTCCCCGGTTCCAAACAGCATTCCCGGTCGAAAAGTTTGTTTAATACGTTTGTTTTTTTCCCTCGGCGTGTGCCGTCGAAATTCCAGAATTTCTCGAGCATCTGCATCGGGGCAGCTGGCCACCCCCGCCGACACTTATCCTCCGGGTCCATGACACGCGCGATGCATAAACGAGAAATTTCCATCTGGCGAGGGAAAATAGACATCCGCTTAACGGAACCGTGAGTAGGAATACGGGGGGAGACGAGCGTTTCATCGAAAAGCATTTTCCGGGGGGCCAGGTAGCCCAACGAGAAAGGATTGCGGTCGACGAGCGTCGGGGAAAATTGAGAAAAATTCGAGAGGAGGATCGCGGCGACTCGTGGCCTGCGACCGGATGACAAAACACCACGGAAAGGATCGAATTCCCTTGGACGCCCGCGCCTACGTGGATTCTGTTTGTTTGTCGGCTTCCTCGTGATAAACGTGCACGTGGAAAGCCAGCTTTGTTTTCTTACGCTCCGGGATACCTGAGCGTACAGGTGATTGCGAACACGTCCCCTTTTGTTTCATCCTCTCTTTTTCTCTGCTCGTCCCTTCCATTCCTTTGTCCCTGAATCATCGTACTTTGATAACGCTATCAACAGCTACCGGAAATACGTAAGGTAAATATCCCCCGATCGATGAACTTGCTTCCAAACAGTCTCCAATCCAAATGGTTTAAAAATCTAAATGCAACCACGTTTTGTTCGAAACGTGTTTCGGAGTTTTCAGAAAAGAGAAGCACGTGCTTCGGTAATAATACCGACACGCTCGGTCAGCAATAATCGGATTCTTATCGTTGGCTGCACACTAGGATATCGCTTTGAAGTTTCAAACATGCCGATCGGTGTACGTTACGCCGATGACGTTAAACAGCTTCCCTTGACCCAGGGAGAATTTGCAAGGAAAAAGAAAAAGAACAACGCCGGACAAGGGTATTCTCAGCGGCAAAAAGACGTTTCGTTTCTTTCATTCGCACGGAACATATGCTGCCAGCTGTTCGGACCGCTGGCTAAAGGGTTCAGTTTCGAATTTTCAAATTCCATTCTACGCGATTTCCTTCTCTACTCCTATTCTATCTTCCTGACAAGTTTTCTGTGGCGATCGGTATCGTTTCCCCTCCAAAAATATTCACTTTTAACAATTACTTTCACGGTTGTTCGCTTCGAAATGCAAAGGTGAACCGAGACTGGCACGGAGACGAAAAGTTCGTTGAAAATCGAACGCTCGAAGAACCGTTTTGTCCATTACAGTGTTCAGAAGCGTGGAAAGTGATCGGATACCGGTAATCGTCTTCGGTTCGAGTTAAAGTCGCGGGTATTAACTACATCCTGACACAGAACCCCTGCGGATCGGTTTCTCTCTAATTTTCGACGATGCACTGACGTCATCGTGTTCCCCGAGTGTATTCCGGTCTGGGTGCTCGGGACCGGAAACAACGAACTCGTTGGGGAGCTCCCGAGCCTTCAAACTGAAAATCCCCCACGGATATCGATGTTCCCGCGTTTAAACGACGAACGAGGAGGAAGTCGATATTCCCTCGAGGATCCAACGGTTGCTCTTAGAAACGATTCTGAATTAAAATTCGGAAAGCGCTCTTTTACGACGCCCGATGGAGAAATATAAAAAAAAAAACAATGGTTTTTTTAACGAGAGATATAAATTAAGTAGCATACGTCCGACAAATTAAGTCGTACGACGAGGGGTTGGGAGAAATGGTTGGAGAAAAATCTCTTAAAACAATCACAAACCTCGGTAATAATCGTTACGGCGGCTGACCATCGTGGTCACGATGTTCACCTGCCCGTGCTTTGATCACACTCGAGGCCGCCTTGCACATATACGGAACGCATATGCTCGCGTGCCCGCATGATCTACAGTGTATGGTGTTTTTCAGCTCGCTTTCTGTAACGGTCGAATTTACCCCCATCGCTCTAGAACGAACCTCGTCCGAGTCCTTGGGCCGCGATTCATCAAGTTGTTTCGATTTGCATTTTAGTTGCACACACGCATACGTGAGCAAGTATCTCGCTCGAAAAAGTAATGAGTTTTATCCGAAACGTTGACAGCGATTAGTCGTACGCGCCTCCCGAAGTGTTAATAGAAAGAACGATTTGCAACCGTCCGGTTTGGAGTATCAAGCGCAAGGCCTTGTACTAAAATTAAACCCTGACCTTGGATGATTTCGCTCGCTGACATTCACAATGCGCCATAGAAAACACGAACCCCTATCGTGTTGCGTATCGCGACGCAACACTACCACCAAAGTCGTTCGATTACAATTGATCGTGTACAAAAACAAGACGCGACGAGAAAACGAAAATTGGTATCCCCTTGTTCGAAAACCGAACGACGATCGAGTCGTATCGCGTTTCTGATTTGTTGCAAAAATACTTGCGACACCGGTAAATTTTCGGCGCGAAACTTGTTCTTACGCCGTCTCTCCCTCTTTCCCGGTCTGGTCCACCTGCTCTCGGCCGATCGTTCTTTTTTATTCTTCGTCGTAAAACGCTGCCCTTCCCGCAAAAATACGTACGTGGCACTTATTCACGACAATCGGTCTGACCACCCCTCGGTCACGATGTATCGGTAATTCCGAACGATTCCGGACGTTCGAGGATCCGTCACCTGACACGACCTCTTTTAAAATTCGTTTCCCCGAATCCTTTCCCTTAAACCATCTTAAGCCCCGTGCTCTGTTCTAGCCCTAGAATCAATATGGACGCACGGCATATTATGGGGATGCACGAGGAAATCAAACATAAAAATATCAGCGTTTAGAATTTTTCTTTTACATTACGATTTTGAGAAATAAATTGTCTTGTCTGCTCTAATATATTTTTTCTATGAGAACGAGCGCGCATTCTGCGACACCCTCTATAAACAAAGCTGACCGAGTGACGTTGTTTCCTAGTCTGCGAACCGCGAAAAATGACGACGATAAAGGAAGGGAAGAAGAGGCGATTTCGAGGAGAGGAACCACTGTGCACGTTCTCGAATAGGAGAACGTTCGCGCGATCGTGATCGCTCTATACGTGGTGCTACTTAGAAAAAAATAAAAGGTAGGCTTTATGGCGCGAGCCTCTTCTTCCCTTCTCTGACCAAAATCGCTTAGCATAATCCGTTGGACGGTTCGTGGCGCGAAAGAGAGAAAAGGACGATAAAACGAGGAGAGAAGCGTGCTCGATAAGTTGGAAAAGGAAAAGACCCTAACGTTGGAGGGAAACGGAACGACTGTACGTGCGCGCCATTTTTACTGCGCAACCATGGCGGCGCACCAATCAGATTTGAATTGGTGAGGCCGGTGGAAGGGTCACATCGGACCTCGTGGCTCGACGAAACGGTGGACTCGAAACCAAGCTTCGCTGCCTTGAAGATTCAACCAGAAGGAGTCTGGCCGTCGAGCGGTGAAGACCAGAGACTTGAATCCAGTTATCTAGTTCGGTTCATTGTGGCTCGGTGAGGAATTCTCGAGGAAACTTGACAGAAAAGTCGAGGGAAATCGATCGAAATACCTGCAGGACGACTCTTGAGGGGGCACAGAACGCGCCAACAGGAAGAAATCAGAACCTCGCACCTTTCGTTTTCGACGCAGCGTGATCGGAAGAATCGTTCGGAGGAGACCCGTCGCACGAAGAACAAATTTCGGAATTTGTTTCTTTCCCGCCACGTTGCTCGCTCGATTTGCCGAAACAGAAGAAGTTTTCGAGATGCTGGCAGCTTCGATCTGTCGCGAGGTTCACTTCACGGTGTTGTCCAGCACGACCATGGCCTCGCGCGTACCACGTTGTCTGTTCGGCAAGCCAAACTCCAGGGAGACGGTGGAAATGCTCCAAGAGGCGCTGGACATGGAAAGAAGCAAGTTCGCGAAACGATGGGGCGTCGATCCGCGTTCGGAGGATAAGGAGAACAATTATCAGAGAAAACACCATGACAAGTACGAACCGTCGCCGAAGAAACGATGCAACCCGTACTCGAGGCAGACCAGTATTCACGGTGAGTACACAATTTTATCCTATCTTTCCCTTCGCTTACCCTCGCGAGTGAAGTTACGGATTTCTACGCGAAGCCTTAAAAGATAATGGAGCGTACGGTTTCCTGGGTGTACAAGTATCCGCGATACGTCGCATGTGACTCAGCACTACTCGGAAAGCTCTTACCATGGAACTTTAGAAGCTTCCTGCCCATGGTGGCAGGTTCCAAGAATGGTTGTTACGACTATCCTCCATTTTTTTTTATCGTATATTTTCGACAAGAATTTCGTTTTGAGGTTATAGCGTGGTACGAAATCTTACGAAGAAATACGTCCGTCGAGAAAGAGATCGCGAGGTTTGGAGCGAACGCGGTTTTGAGTAACAACGAGCCAAATCGTGCCTCTGTATCGGAAATATGGACGGAGAAACGGAACGGGGCGAGTGCACGAAGTATAAATAAATTTGATAAGCGTAGCATCGTGGTAAAGAGCATCGTAGCTTTTTGGCGGGAAAGCGATGGCGTTCGGCGTGGAAAGGGAAGGCACCGGAGGCGCAGGCGCAGCGTAGGCCGGTCGCGTGGCTCCGACCTGTTTTCTTAGTCTAGCCTCGCTCCTCCGCGCCTCTTCCGCCTCGTTTCTTTCTCCCTCTTTCGCTGCCCGTTCCCAGCTTCTGGTTTTACGCGACTATCCAGAAACTTTCTGACGGGCCCTCTCCGCTCCGGCCACTATCGCTTTCCAAAATTACAAACCCGTTGTAGGCCATCCCGCTTCCTTCCTCTACGCGCGGCCTCCACCCAGCGAACCACCTAACCACGAGTTACGACTTTCTTGTCGATTTTTCTTACGATCGAATGGTATTTTCCAATCGCATAGCTGAGAATTGACGTAGAAGTTCGGACGACGGGGACCGGGAAGGTATAGAAAGTGTACCCATGGGCCGTCGCATGAATCACGCCGATGAGTCATGCATGTTTCAAGACGGACGAAATACCTGAAGGGTCCTGTGACTCATCGAAGGGCCCCAGTTTTCATGGAATAAGACGGTCTTACGATCGCATTCTTTGCATTCCTCGGGCCTAACTCCTTTGCACGCTCGCGCACCGGAGCCAATGCACCCCAACGGTCACAAATTGCACAATGGATATCACATTATGTCGACCAAGTGCACACTTCGCATGCGACCGTTCGCGAATAATATTCCAATTACCATTAGCGTCTTCGTTAGCTTGCCACTGACAATACAAGGCGTCTCTCCGACTGGTCATTGTTTCGTTCAGTCCACGTGCATGGAACCTAACTCACGATCAGACTTTGTCCATTCTCTAAGCTTTTATATCTTTATCCTTGATGCATGACGACGATTATCGACGATGCACGTTTAAATTTGTTGATCTTTGAATCGTTGTACTTTAAAACACATAAATTTATCCTTTATCCGCCACTCTCGAAGAATTTCCGGGAGTTGTATCGCATGCACCGGTGCAATGCAAGTTGCATTGTTCCGTCGAGGCGCGTATGAGCAGTATTTACGCCCGACCGGCGCAAAAACGGATCGTTTAGTCGGATATTTCATAAGAGCGAGGCGATACGCCTTGATAATACGCAGCTGTGTTGGTTCTTCGGGCAAGAAGCGTACGGAGATCCGTGGAAAGTCAACGGAGCGAGGCATCGCAACCAGCCATTTTCCACCGACACCTGTCGCCCCCGCTGCGGAACTGTAAGAACTACAGAGTCTTTTTCCCACGATTAAATCAGGTTCGCGAGCACGCGATACCGTCAACGGGACCTTCGGAAGGTCGTGCACCACCTGTCGCAATAGGTGCTTTCTTATAACCGCATTTGCATTTACATTTAGCCGGCGGCAGTTACCTTCAGCCCCCTCGTACCTGCCCGCGTTTCGCCACACCACCGACCCGCATACGACTAGACAAACACAGATTCCTATAATTGCATTCCAATCGATCGGTAATGAAGCTGGAAACGTGTATTCGATCTTTCGCCCTGAAATACCGAAACGGAAAACTATGGATCCTCGAAAATGAAAATTTCTGTCGAGTCTTGGAAACGTCTAATTCGTCGGGGATGGAACGAAGAGGAGATTCGGGTTCTTTAAAGAAACGAAAAGAAACTGACCTCCTTTCAGGCTCCTTGGGTGGAAATCCTTCGTTTGATTGAAAAACGCTTGAGAACGAGGGGCCTCCGCGATGCTCTATGGACAAAGGTAATCTCGATCTTTGTGCCCGAATCTCGCTCGAAGCATATGGACAGGTAGACGTCGGACCCCTCGAGAACCGTCGTGCTTCGAGATATTTTGTGGCGCGACTAGGCGAGGAAACAGATGTTGACAGACGAAATCCTCGACGGAATTCAAGCCAGCGGGGGAAACCAGAGGACGTTAGTTAAGAAAGCTCGGTTTCGCGCGCCATATGGCAAACCAGTGCGAAAAGGGAGAACGGGAGATAGGAAGAAAGGATCAACGCGTCCTCGACATATGGCCGTTGCTTGACCGCTTCTGTTTCTCCTCTGATTTGTTTAAGCCTCTGCACTTGTCAATATCGGGGAACTGCTCTAGAAAAATGGTACTCGATACCGCGATCCCTGTTTCTTTAATTTCGCTATGTGCCTGTTCGTTGCGTGGATCTCGAACAATGTAAACAAGAAGTTGCTAACGCGAAATCGCACCTGCCGGCCAGGGAAAGGACAAGAAATCGAGAGAAAAAAAAGAAAAAGGAAAGCAGCGAGGGCGCTCAGGTGACTACCTGATCGAAAATAGGGTGTCCGCAAGACGTTTTGTCCGTCCGTGGCTTTTGTTGTGGAAATTTCGTGTTTCTCGCGTGGTGTGGTTCCCCATACAGGTTAAACTGCGTCGCAATAAGTCGACCCCTCCGACTTTTGCAAGTGTCGTCCTACCTCTTGCCCAATGAAACCGTACAACATGCTTCTGCGAACAAACATTTCGCAACGGTTTTCCTTGAAATTTCTTCTGCTTTCCTTTTCCAACCAACGCCTAGCTACGACCAATTCGAAGGGGTATTCTACGGTACACTCGCGACTAAAGCCCATACCATCGATTTCATATCCTTTCTAAAAAAATTAAACTTCGAGCTTGTTAATTACCGACTTTCACTTGAAATGTGCATACTAATCTGAAACCTGGTTTATTTTTCGCTTGTGCAGATTACTGGCGGGCCCGAAAGGTGTGCGAGGTGAATAAGAAGCCCCTTACATCATCGTTGGATGCCTCGAAGCAGCAGATCGAAGTGTCGAAAACAACGAAGGCAGCGACGACGACGACGACGACGATGAAGTCATCGAAAAAAGCGTCGCAAAACTGAGAAAAGAACCAATCGCATATGTTTACGAGCGCTGCATCGCGTCATAGAACTCTGTATATTTATTCGTCGCCGTTCTTTCGTGATATCCATCGTCGTTCCGAGCTAGACAATCGTTGAGGACGTCCTCGTTAGCGTTAATTGCGAACTGTTAATTGTAATGTTCCTGTAAATACCGCACTGAGTGATTTATGGAGGTTTGGGACGAGCTCACTGTCACGAGTAGCACAATTAGCGTCGCCTAGTTTCCACAATCGGCGAAGTAGATAAAAGGGGAAAACGTTTTGACCTCGACGAGAAGAGAAAAAATCCTCTCGACGTGGTCAAAACACAAGGTTACCGCTTGACGAGTTTCAATGGGGGTTTGCGGTGGACAAAGGTCTTGTAAAATGCCAGTGAGCCGTCGAAAGCCTGAATCGGTTGGTTCTTCGATGAACCAACAACGTATGCAGCGCCTCCAAAGAATAATCGAATACGAAAATGAAACGTCCTCTCTCCTTGGTCTCGTCTTTGGAGATGTTGGAAAATGTCCTATGTATATCCGAAAACTTAGGATTATTGAAAACTCTAGTCAACTAGTAATTTAAGGGAAATCGAATAATAAACGATCGTGCTTTCATACGCATCCGCGTGCTGTCTACAAATTCCTTCATCCCTCGACCTGTATAGCAAAGATAGTTAACGTTAGAAAAATACATTGTTAGGCATCAGACACGAGCATACGATGATAGAGTATACACATGTAGATGTTTGTAACGCGATAAAGATTGGACGAATTGTCCAGCTGACTCGAGAACAAATTGAAAGTTTGTTAGACACGCGACACGAGGGTCTCGGCTGGGATAGTCGAAAATTAGGCAGCTGAAGAATACGGCTACTATTTGTAACGAACATTTTGTAATATCCACCTGGACTGGAGCCATGGAGGTCCGTGGTATACGCGTGGGGTACACTATAGGGTGGATCAAGAGAATTAACTCCTACATCTGTTAGTTCCCTATTTTATTATTCTGCCTATTAGGCAGCTAGAACAAGCAAGCTTTAAATTACATTATGTATTCGTATAGGATTTCTTAATACGTTTGTAACGTGAGCCACAAGTTGTTAAACTGCATAACCATAGGGTATCTGAAGAAGATGATGTATTTCAGAAAGGTAGTTCGAGCAGTAAACTGAAGCAAGTACTATCAAAAAGGTATAAAAATGTTGTTGTCCTGAAACTTTTCCCAAGGATTACGTCTTGTATTGAGTATTATGAATATGAAAGTTACAGCTACAGCAACGTTGTTTGGTAGATTTTTATTAGTACACCCTGTGTAGACGCGTGTCTGAGCATTTACTTATCTTCGGCGAGGTACGAGTATGGGGGTGGCCGAATATGGTATATAGACGGTTAATTATAATGCGTGATGCACCGCAGGGTTTTCTACCATGGGGGAGCCCAACGAAGGGAAGCAGCTGGTTCATGGTTTTAATGGCTGTCATCCTAGCTGGTCATTTCGATAATGGTAACTAATACGGCTGGTTTTCGTGGCCTGTACGATCGTGTTAAATCGAATATCGACTAAACACCCTACTCATTGTAATGATTTTCAAACCGTTACGACCAAACGTTTAAGCAAGGAACCGTTAACCGACTAAAGTTTCTTTCATATTTCATTTAAACAAATCGATTCTTATCGAAACCATATTGCTGCCTGTACCGGCGAATATCGAAGGAGAAGTTGCGTTCGAATCTTACGTTTTAGCTTCGGAGTATAATTGGAAACCTAAAACAGGATGTGACCTCATCGGCGTTATTGTATCCAAGATCGTTAAGGACCTCGTCGTTGCGATATCCAATTACTCGAGAAAAGAGAGACAGTTCGGAGTACGAAAGAAAAAGAACGCCAACGCGTTATGGCAGATACGAAGCAGACGCCCTTCCGTAGATCAAATTTTCTCTTTTCGGAATTGGTCGTCGAGGAACGTGAAATCCAGGTGCGTCGCCAAACGCGCGCTTATGGACTGTTTATCGTCGGAACACGTGTAGAGCAAGCCCCACCGCAGACTTAATTGATTGAATTAGCCATGAAAGCAGCCTACATTGAAATTCCACCTGACCCGGGCGAACTTCCATCGGGACGATTTTGATGGATCGCCGATCCGCGCGCGATCGATCAAACTTCTTTTCTTCCGACGGAACCGAAGTTAATCGATCACTTTTTATACGCCAACGGTTTCATTAGCCATCGTTTGATGCAGGATCATTCTGCTTTTTTTGTTCGTCTTGTAGTATTTTTACGTACCACCCGATCGGACGGTTCTGCAATTGGCAGAAAGGTGTTCCCTTTGTTGGCGGTTCTTTATCTTTTTTTTACACGTTTCGGTTTGCGCCGGTAAAATACAGGTTAAGCGATCAAATGCCTAATGACCACCGTTTCAAAGTCAACATAACACGCGGCCGTTATTTCTGAAAAGATGATTATCTTTCAGAGACACTCTATGCAACGTACGCGACAGAAAAATCCTGTTTAGCGTCCAAAATGAACGAGTTGCCGGGTATTTAAAAAATTCCGTCCAACCGACGAACGCGTCCCTAACCGTGGGTCAGAAGAAGCAACGTAACCGGCGATAAATTACGATCTTTTCACCGGATCGAAGAATGGTAAATGAGGGGGGTAATGTCCGATCGAGAGCCACCAAATGATGTCCACAATGGACTAACGAACTCACCGAGTGGCATTTTATTTTCCAACGGTAGCACGCGCCCGTTCGTTTTCCTCGCTTCACGGGCCCCGTTGGTCCCCATATTATCTAATACCCTGTAAACACGAGCTCCGAAAGGGGACTAACCGCCCGTCGTAATTAAAGGATATTCATATCGAGTGGCCGGTCCTTTCGACCCCTTTGCCACGAGTTCGCGAAAACTGGTCCCGATGACCGTTTCTATGCCACATGGACCATTTGACATTTTTTTCGTGCCCCTTTGACCTGCACGATTCTGCAGAGTCACTAAAAACCATCGTGGTTCAGGATCGTAGCGTCCTAGGACAGTGGTTCTTCGTTGTTTGAATTATTTTGGTGGCTACAGGGCGAATTATCAAGTTGAAAGAAGTAAACGTAAAATGTGAAGTCGGTTGAGACGCTAGACCCTGCCTTGAGGCGTAAAAATATATAATTTAGTCGCCGAAAATAAATCGTAAATGCGAGGAGAAAAATAAAAACTCGATCCGAACTGTGTTCGCGATGTTTACACGCGAGGAGAATATTTTGTCGTTCCACGATGCCGTGCAACCCTCGTCAAAGGCGGGCCTAAAATTAGCTCTTTTTAAGGGACGCGAACGAAAGACTGGGCCGGATACGCGTGGAAGAAAGTACACGTGTCGATGGTCGAAGGGAAGTCGAAATTGCACGGGGGAAAAAGAAGAAGAAGAACGTGCCAGAAAGATGTTCGAACCGAACCGTGTATCTTCTGGCCGTCGATACCGGGAGTGTGTGCCCTAACGGGGCAGATGCTGCATCGAAGAAACTGCATTCGAAACGATGGACAGTAATTCCGTCTGATTCGAGCAACGAGACCGTCGTGAGATACATAAATCCGTCGGTTGGTCAAGGGTCCGAACCGAGCTCGAGAGTTAAACAAGTACACACGTCGTGAGAGACAGAGGAATCATTGAATCGGTGGAAAAAGGCCCAGCACTGTCCTCGACCGAGTCAAACCGTTATCGATGGGCACGTCGAATGTTAGAAATACAGCGCTTATGTCAAAACATATTTAATCGCAATTATTAATAGAATGGTGACTTACTCGATGATGCTTTCAACGTAGAAATCCGTGGCGCAGGAGCCGGCGTTGGTCCCGATGAAATTTCAACCGGGCCAGTTTTCTCCCACCCGTGAAGTTTCGACGGATCGTCCGATCAGGTAAGTTCTAGTTACCAGGATGCAAGTACGTTTGCAGAGAGTGCGGTTCGTCGAGCAGATGTCCCACGGGCCACTCTCCTCTGATTCCTTTGCTCGCTGGACCAAGACTCACCGCAAAAACTGACCGACCGTATTGAACCACGCGGGGTTATGTCCATCGACGAACCATCGACCATGGTCCTCCGTCTTGTCTCTCACGGACAGAGCCTTCCTGTGAGAATCGGTGTCGCTTGAAATCTGTTCGTTCTCATGGTTTGCGAGATCTTGCTTACGAGATTGCCTTATTCCGGGATCGTCCGTTAGATGAAGAACAGTAAAATCTGGAAAACATGGAAAGAGCTGTTACTCGATGCACGGTACGTGTAAATAGCGGTGGGAAAGGGGGAGAAAGAAAAGGAGAAAGAAATAGAAACATTATCGCGGTTGACGCCTGGCCAGGAGGTGAGGCCTACGCGGAGGGAGGTTCGCTGGCAGGATGCCTCGCCTAGATCCTGTCTGGAGGCCGAAGAGAGGTCCTTCGAACCGTGAAATCACTTCCAGTCTGAATATAAAGAGCGAAAAAGCGAGTGTCCGTTTGTGTTTCGGTCGTTCCGTACCACCGCCTTCGGAACTGCCTTGGAAATCGTTAAGCGCCTGCTGGCCTTCTTCCCTTTGCGCGCGGAGGTCTTCGGTCGTGCATCGTGCTCGGCTTTCCGCGAAAACGATTCGTGTAATCGGGTACAAGTCGGAGTTTCGCTCGTGAGAACGGTCTTCGGGGGGGGGGATAGCGGATATTGTTCCCGATGGAATTTTACGGCGCGCCTTTTATTGCCAATGTCTAGAAAGCGGCGCGAGCTTGCGACACGCGGCGACATCTAAGCACTTAAAATTCCGAGTCTACTCACGGCCTACGCCGTCCATTATCCGCGCGAAAGCGACCAGCCTCGGGACAGTTTTCGATCGCTCGTCCGTGAGTGCATCCACTTTCGGATAAGTGCCGCGCGGAGACGACCACCGCAGATTCGACCGTTTTAAATTTATCGCGAAACGACCAGCCGTTCCCCCCATCCAGTCCGCTAATGCAGCCCGCGATACCCGTTATGCGTCCCAAGTGGCAAACG